CGTACGGTCTGTAGTGTCTATGAGGTCAAATGTCAAGTAAATCGACTCCTTCGTTGCTTTTATCGTGACTTTTAGCACTTATCGTCATTACTAGTTTGCTTCCATCGTTACATTTCAAAGCGTTAATTGCAGTATCATGAATGGATTTGAGGTGGATCGGTGGGTATTTCTTGCCTGATTTTTTACTAATGCCAAATTATCTATGTTAAGCGCTTTTTAATTTCAGTTGAAGAGAAGATAAGGAAACATTTCGTAATTTGTGGAATGTTTGGTGCCTTTTTAAGGGGAATTGCCGTGAGTGGTAGCTGTAAGGAACTGAATTTGTTATCAGAATCTGATTTTCGTCCTTAGGACGATGGAAAAAGAACAGTCGTTCCTAACTAATTTTGCCTACTGCAATTACTACCTGCGGGCTTTTATTGCATTTTGGTTTTTAATTAGACACATCAAGGTGGGAGAATGCCTTTAAAAAGGATGCGTGCACGCGATGCGCCTGGATTGGAGAGGCTGTGTGATGAGGAGGCGAAGGGTTTTCGGGGCCCAGCACTGTTACCTTTTATAAAAAGTGGTGTACGTGTTCTAAAGCACCACCCATCTTAATGACTTTTATACTATGTAAAGATTTTGGTCATTAAGTGCTGTTTAATTTGTTTCCCTAGTGTTTATTTTTGAGCTGAGCCCATCTCCGTGGCCAATAAAAAATAATTGCTTCGGAGATTATAATGAGTAGTGTAGAGGGAATAAGGAGAGGGACGTTGTGTTGTGCTTACCTTTGAATGCTAAATGGAATGTTTGTGCAGTTCTCCACTCTTCTTCTCCAAAGTGTTGGCCTTGCCTTTGTGAAGGGTTGTCGCGTTTGATTAAGCCTTTGCTTTTTTGGTGCTTGGCAGACTTCCTGCACCCGTCGTTCCAACATTCTCCTACTTCTCGGATCTCGTGCCAGACATCTTTGTCATTGCAATTATCACCTTTGCTATCAACGCTGGACTGGTGAAGACCTATGCCGCAGAATTTGGCTACGACGTTCTTGATAATCAGGTTTGTAAACAAATCATAAAAACTTCAAATTTGTTGCTAACTAAACCTCCTTTATTAATAGCTAAATGGATGAAGAATTGGAAATTTCATTAAGTAGAGTTTGCAGGTGTGGTTTTTCGTCGTGTTGTTTGATCACAAGTATGG